TAACCGAATCAGGACCCATGGAGCCACCCGAAGTTGAAATACATTGTAGGGTTTAAACTTACTGAACATCCAAAAAGCCAGGAAATGAGTCTCAGCCACGTTACCGACTGTGTTACCGACAAACTCGCAAAACGGTTTCGCCAAATCTCAAGTTCCGACATCGATATTCGGATGGTTCCCTGAAGATTTTTCTATATCGGGACTTGGGTCTGGGTTATGTGGAACTTTCAATGTTTCAGATACTCTATAGCAAGAGGGCTTTAGCTACATAGATTGGAGTCTGAGCATTTTTTACAAAAGCTCTTTTAAAATAATCCCTGCAGTGGTACTGTAGATGTAACCTACATGATGAACCGTAGATGAACCGATGATTTAACGTGCCTTCTAATGCAGAATAGAGCCAAGATAAAACATTTTTTGTCACACATCCGATGACTGACCAATGTAAAAGTTGCTTAACTTCGACAATCGCAAACTGAATATGCTAACCACTGCATACGATATGTTATCGCAATATGATACCTTTTCCCGCTTCTATTATATGCTTTATTACAGTTAAATTTTCACTGACGACATATTTAACGTGTGAAACATGCAAAAGCTCAGAAGGTTACATACAATGTATGTACGCAGGACAGGCAGTAATTGAGTTCTACCCTTTGTAACAACTTCTTACCCAACCAACAACAGGTCGAAGTTAAATTAATTAACATTGTTACCAATGTTTATCCAATGAGTAAAGTAAACGTTTAATATAGGAACAATAATCCAAATATTGTTATTTTTATGAACATTAAGGTTTGATTTCGACCTGAGTATGTTTTATTTTCTTCTTTTTACATCCATTTTCTTTACTACTAAATATATTTTGTCTCCCGTTTACACTTTATTTTACTGTTTCAACTTTTTGTAAGATTCATTCTTCATCTCTTTCCCGAGAAAGTAACAATAAATATCTGTGTTAAATTAATAAACTGAAATGAAATCAAAACAATAATTAACGTTCTACAATTCGAGATCGATGGCTGTGATACTGTCGTTAAGAAACTTTTACAATGGCCGATTATAAGATGGGTGACCCAAAATTTATTATCCACCGTGCTTCGGAAGGCACGTTAAGCCGTTGTTCCCGGCGCATATACAATCGTTAACACCCACTAATCCGCACTGGGTCAACGTGGTGTGTCATGGCCCATTCTCCCTACTAGACTCCTTCCATAGGGAAGGCCTGAACCCCAGCAGTGAGGACATTAATACGCTGGTGATGATGAATGTTCTCCAACAGCCATATCCAAAACAATAAAGAAACGTTCATTATCCATTCGACCTGGCCGGAAACCGAGCCTAGAAACGTTAATACATTGAATCCGGGTACGAGACATTAAACCATGTAGGTTTAATGTCTCGTAATAAGACCTGAGATTGTGGTGCAGGCTCAGTTCTTATTACTCACGCAAATTGTCAAATATTTACAAAAAATCCTTCATAATTATTTTATCAAAAGTTTTGATATAGGATCTAGATATATAATACAGTGGCAAAGGACAGTGATAGGAATCTCATATGATTATAATTTTATTGACCTCAATGCAGTGAATGTTAATTTTTTTTAGTAACGCAGAGAAATGCAACCTTAGTGTCTCAAGACAAAAATCTTCGACCAATGTGTGTTGCCAGTGATAACTTACGTAAGCAAGACGTGCTCATTCTCAAAGTCACCCAACGAGTAATGGATAGAGAAATGAGAACCAACGTTACTGACATTGCTCGAAAAATTGCTCACCTAAAGTAGCAGTGGGCGAGACACGTAGCTAGAAAAACCGGTGGCCGTGGCGGCGGGAAGGTTCTAGAATGACGACCGCGTACCGGATGAGGCTCAGTCGCTAAGCCCCCCACCAGATCGACCGACGATCTTATAGGTTGCGGGATCGTGGAGATCATTGGGGGAGGCCTATGCCCAGTAGTGTACATTATACGGCTGTTGATAAAGATGATGATGATGAAGGAAAATACATGTTATGCCTTTTGAGGCTCTCCAACTACTAAGACCTGCTTCAACGGGCGAGGTCAAGGTATGGTTGCCTGATAAAACCTGCTGTGGAGTACCCTCCTGTAGGGGAAAAAATCCAAAATTTAGCTTAGAGAGCACCACATCTAACCCGGCGAATCTTAAAGAAGTCCATTGTTATTATGACTATGAAACTACGAATTCTAGCAACTTTCACTCCCAGGTAGTTTCTGCAAAAGGCATAAGAGAGGCTTCCGATGTTCCCAAGCCTCTCCAGTCACGAGGGAGGGAGTATCCTTGCGACACGATCACAGCTTCCCGGGTCTCGTTCACCAGCAGTGGTTTAGGTAGACAGGCCTCCGGTAACGAAGGACAATCTTGCAACTACCTGGTGGTTCGCGCCTAGCAGGAGTTGTTAGACTATATACTGCTAATCAAAGAAAATGTCTAAGTGAACCGTCAAGCAATATTAAAAGCGCAGTCGGTTTTCTTTTAAAACACAAGAGTAATTTCATAAGAAAATCTAAATTCTGTATATTACTGATGAAATGAGTCAATCGTAGTTAAAACTTTCTATAAGAAGAGTTATAAATTGCAGCGTTTCAACAAAGTAATCTACCATTTGCTCAAAATTATGTGAACTCTGTTACAGTTAAAACAACTAACATTTATATTTAGAAACCAAGTTTAATAAAAGTTTTGATTAAACTTCTGAATTTAATCAAATTAGCTAAAAGTAGTAAAAATATAATTTTGACAATTGTTCAAACTCTTAAAATTGTCTCGAAGTTTAATGTCCCTTAACACCAATAAGAAATGACATAAGAAAAGTAAATTAAGAAAAAGCTTCTATTTTTATTAGAGACAAATATTAAAATGACAAACGGGCAAAGTGAATAACTAAATTCATATTGTAAAATATAAAATAAACTATGTAATTAATCGTAATTGTTTAGATATGGATATTTTTTGTTAGTTAATTAAATTATAAATACTGTTTCTAGCTACTCTCACCTATTTTAAAACATGTGTCTTTCAAAGACAGTCAAGTCAATACCGTCCATGAATTGTATCTGAAATTTTTGAGTGAAAATCTTATAAAATGTGAGTCATAAAACAGAGTGCATTTGAACGTTAGTGCTTGATCTATAATAGATAATTTAGTTTCACTTATAAACTGTGTTTTTCGAGATAAGAACATCTAAATATGTATATGCTGTCTTGAGATCGCGGGGGAGTATCGCAGATGTTTTGATTTTAACGATAAGTGCTTTGTTATTTTCACATTATAAATGTGTTCTTTGATTTTCGTATTTGATATTTATTGTGTTACTTTGTTAAATATTACTGATTCGTGCCTCAAAAAAAATAAAAAGAGAACTCCTACAACTCACACCCGTTTTTGTGTGTATTAATTTGCTTCTAATGCAACTCTAATACCTGTTCAGTCAATAGTATGACAGGTTATATTGTTTTAAGTTTTCACGAGTAGTTCGGTGACGTAGTGGATAAGCGCCGCGGCCCGCGATTGTTGTCGTTAAGCGACTTTCGCAAGGGTCGGTCGGATGGGTGAACAAAAAATTATTATCTCGAGCTACTCTGTGCTTCGGAAGGCACGTTAAGCCGCTGGTCCCAGCTGCATTTGCAGTCGTTAATACCCTCCAATACGCATTGGGCCAGCGTGGAGGGTCATGGCCCATATTCCGTAACCATCCATAAGGAAAGCCTGAGTCCCTGAGCTGATGATGATGATAATGAAGCTTTCATGGTCATTTACATTAGGCACTGTTGCAAGCGCCATGATCATATAGGTCTGAAATATCAGGAACTCAACAAACACAAGGCGCATGGTAGCAATCCCGCGAAAATTTATCATTACAGTAAGACAAGTTAACTCAAAATGTTTATATTTTAAATCTTAATGTATCAAAAGGTACATTTCAAAATCGACTGCAAATGCAGTCTCACAATTTTCCTTAAAATAGGTAAAGGATTACCAATATAAAAAAACATTTATGAAATAATTATTTATTTCACGCTTTTAACATGCTGCATCATACTTACAAATAAATGTATTTATCACGTATTCTAAACAGAAAATATAGTTCCACTTTATATCTAGAACTAAGCCTTAGTGTGTACGTGTTGAGAATAACATGTTTGTTGTAATTCAGAATACCAAATCGATTCTGCAGCATCAGTTTGAATAAAACTAGAGCTTTCAAATTTGCTATATTTCAATATCGAATACAATTTTTTATCAAAATCTTTGAATTTTCCGTTGAATGTGGTACTCTACTCCATGTTGCTACGCACTGCATGAAGCAGCCATGCTGGTCGCTACTGCAAAACAAATTTTGAAAATTAAAAAAAAAAGATATATTCAAATGAGAATATTGTTGTTATAAACGAAATTTATACTGTATGTTACTCTCTGAAGCTAAAACTGCTGAATGACTTTTGATGAAATTAATTTAACGAACAATTCTATAACTGAATTAACATTTAGATTTCTTAGTTCACTAGGATAATTGGACATCGTTATGTAAGAACAGATTAAGCGACACTAGATAGAATTTGAGAAAATAAGCTTCAAAGTTTATTAAGTTCAAATTGTCGCTGTGTGCTCATTATTTATGGTAGACGTATGATATTTTTACTTGAAAGTAAGATATATATGTAGTATTATTTAATTAAGGTTATATTATGGCACAAAATATATTTTAGAAGATATGAACATTTTTCCACTTAATTCATTAATGTATTTCAGCTATATCCGACGCATTAAATTTAACAATAACGTACTATATGACATCATTGTCGTTTGATTCTTTAATGTGATTTATTTCGGGTGAAATAAAATACAGTTAAAGATCAAATCCAAATTTATAAAATCTTCTCTTCTAACAAAATTAATAAAATTGTTACAAAAAAAAATCTAACAAAATTATCTCTCAAAGATAAAAATATATATACTCAATTTATTATATTTCTAATCTTCTTCTTCTATATCAAAATCAATAGATCCATTAAAACCTTCAACATCTTCTTCTAAGTCACGAGATCCTGTTAAATTTTCATAATATTGTCTGGCATCAGATGGAATAAGGTGAAGTAGAGATTTTATATCATCCAACTTGGGCTGTGAAATTAGTTTTCCTTTTGGCCAAAGTTGCTCATAAAGTCCCGAAAAATGTAATGGAATGTTTTGCGTGCCTCTTTTTGGTCTTTTATTAAGATCTACTTCTTGAGGAAAACCACCATGAGTGGTTGAAAGAAATATCTGACCAGGTTTATCCTTATAAATGTTTATTTCTTTAGTTTTTAACCAACTCACAGCATGTCCTTCTATATATTTTTTTCTGTTTACTATTTTCTTCATTATTTTGGAAACTCCTACAAAGTCGTTTTTTTCCATTTTAATAGCAGTTAACTTGTTTCTCTTGCGACAACTAATCATCACATCCATGTAATCTTGTGGCGTATATAATCTTGTGTGGGTTTTTAAAGCTGATTCTATATCACTAAAATCACTATCATTTTCTAAGAAGCTGTGGCCAGGAACCATAAATCGTAAAGTGATTTTCTCTAAATTTTCATTTTCTTCGAGCATTGCAAATAATAATAAAGTCAACTTTATGTTGCGATTCTGGCTTTCACATGAATCTGACCAAAGGACTAGCTCTTTTACTTTTGAATCTAGATTTAAAGACAAATGTTTGCGCAAAGCGGACCCGACTTCCTGGGCTCCTCTGCCCGCTGTACCGTCCACCCACACATAACAAAACCCTTTGCTAGTTTTTCCTGAATGTATACCGCAGTTGTAGAGCCATAGTTGGCGTTTGTAAAAAACGATATTAGTAGGAATCCTCGGTAACGGTAAGGTTTTCTCCATATCAAAAGTAAGGGCTTCAATGTGGTCACAAGTCTTAGCCAAAGTCATGTCCTGTTTTTTCAATGCTCGTGCATTTTCTGCTTCCTTGTGGTGCTGCTCTCTTTCCTTTTCTAAATTAAATTTAATTTCTTGTGATGTGGTGTCTCTTATTTTTATTGCTAGCAGGTCACACTTGTTACAAGTATCTTTCTGTGGTTTCTTTCTTTGTAGGTTAAATTTAGTGTAAAATATTTTTTTGTATGTTGAAAATGAAACTCTTTTAATTAAGCTAACTTCCGATACATATAAGTCATACATTTTTGATAAGGTCATATCTGGTGGTAAATACTCGTACATCCTCTCTGTCTGCGCTCTACAATAATGGGATTTGTATTTAGGAAACTTGTCGATATGTTCGATGATAGCTGTTTCCACATCTTGCGTTATCTTTAGGGTATTTTCTGTCACTTTTCCTCTTTTATCTTCAATTTTATTAGAACCTGAACTCTTTTTTAAGTATCTGTCAATCCTTGCGGAAGAGATATTTAAGGTATTAATAAACATTTTAGCACAGACTACCTTATTTTTTAAAGAATAAATACGTGTATTCTTTCTTTTATTTGAGACCTTATTTCTTTTCCTTTTTATTCCTATCACTTTAACGTTAGAAGATATATACAAGCACTTGCCTTCAAAACTTAACTCCCAAAATTTTAAAAATTCTTCTTCACGCTCTGCCATCGATATCTTTTCGTGACAACTATCGTTACATCTAAAATCAATAAACTCTCGGCTGTTAACTAATTTTCCTTTTTGATTTATATATTGTTTGTTAGTTTCACATAAGTTTTTGCGAATATCACGTGTCTGATGTGGGTATTTTCTTTTCCTACCCTTCTTTGGTCTTCCAGTTCTATTTTCATCTATTTTTGGTTCAGATATCGTTGAATTATGTAGGACACCTTCATCAGGATTACATATTCCTGAGGTAGTTTGGGGTGGACTTTCAAAAGTATAAACATTAACTTGAGGTACAGCACTATTAGTGAATAGTAAACTAGGGCTACTATTAAGGTTAGACACGTTGACTGAGTATTCAGAAAAATCATTTTTTGTAACATGCACTTTGTTTTGGACATCACATTCAAAATTGCTAGTATTTTCATCTTGAGGTTCGTGTTCCTGATTTTTATTTAATGTACTATTATGTTCCTGTATTTCATTGATTGTGGCATTAAACTCTAAAGAATCTAAATACCTGGAGTCTAACTCATTATCCTCTATTTGTATTAAATTTCGGTAAGCGTCATCTACTTCGGCACAAATGCTTATATTTTCTTCATTTTCTGTTATCATATTACTTAAATTTATTGAGTTTGATATATCTAGTAATACGGTTTGTCTATTATCTTCCTTTGGTTCAACTTCAGGTAAAATATTATAGTAAGTAGCTTGATTTTCTTTGGTTATCTAAAAACATAAAACAAAAATGGACATTGCGACATTGAGTGAAGTGAAGTAAGGGTTGCATGTAGTCGTAAAATATTCTTTTATTGTTACCTCATTATGTAGCTGGGAGTATTTATTCTGTGTCCAGTTTACGGCGGCATTCGAAGTAAAATCTACTGACGTTTCCTTAAATAAATAAATTGCATTGCAGTTTGTCACTTTAATCTAATGCTAATCAATGCTTTGATTTTATACCTAAATCGTATCGTAAAAAGGGTACTGAAGTAAAGTAGGTAATAAAGAATGTAAGTAAAAACTAGTCAACTATGACTCAGATTCACGTAATCAAATATTCACATTAATGGTTACTTTTTTACCCGACTGCGCGACGCAAAGGAGGGTAATGTGTTTATCAGTCTATGTATGGATGTTTGTTTCTATGTGGCGTTCCAGAGACCGAATGCGTAGGCCGATTTTGATGATTCTTACGTCAATCGATTCGTCTTAACCTTGCAAGTGTCTCTAAAGACATGGCAGTAATCAAAATTCACCACAGCGACAACCAGACGCTATATTGTCAAAATGAAAAAAAAAATCGATGACCTATGTCAAGTGGGGTGTCGTTGAATAGGTATTTTAAAATCATCTTTAGGTTCGCTTTATCATTTTTCGTTTTAAATAATAGTTTTGGATATATAACGATTTAAAGTTGTTTAACAAAACAATCATTCTCGCTAATTTTCTTACTTATTGATTTCAGTTTTTATTTAAAGAATAAACAGTATACAAACAATCTTATAACGAAGTCAACGAATCGTAACTAAAAAGTATAAAATAAAAATAAACAATTTAAAGAAAAACAAAAAACCCGACTGCGTAAAAACTAATTTTTAAAAATACATGAAATAATGAACTTAAATAAAAACTAAAAAGAAAGAAACAAGCACACGCAGTCGGGTTTTTTGTATTTCTTTAAATTATTTATTTTTCCATTTGGCTACGGACCCCTAAAAAGCGCGCCTGCTCATTTTAGACCGAACGAAAAGATGTCTAAAAAGCTAGGTCTAAACTAAATAGGTATACATTTAATTGTAACTATATGTATGCATAATATATTGTATTACTATACCAATTATTAAACATACAACAAATATTAAAAAGTAGGTAAAGCTTATAAACATCCGATCGAAGTAATCAGACATGTTAACCAAAAATAAGTAATATAATGGTTATATTGTACATACCTGCAAAGAATTGTTTAGCATAGCATCATTCTTATTTAATGAAGCAATCAAACGATAACTGCGCGTATTTTTCTTAAATCCGTCCATTTTAAAGATTGGTTTTCAATTTACTTAATAAACTAAAACAACAAGTGACAACAAAACTTCCTTCCGGTATTGCATAAGGCGAGCTACTGGGATTCCTGACACCCCGTTCCCCGTAACTCATGCAATTAAATTGTCAAAACGAATCAAAGGCCAGAATTTGGCGCTTCATTCGTAATCAAGCGAATGATCGCATAGGTAGTAAAATGCATTTACGAATCAGGTGCCATTTTAGACGGTTAGTTCGATATTGCATTTGTAATAAATAAACTAAAGTGATTATCTACAACTTTTGTGGATGTAATTCATTTATGCATTTTGAAATCTTGTTTATGTATTTTTCAACAGTGACCTAGGCGTATAATTCTTTATTACATAACCAATGTGTGTGCAAGTTCAAACAAATTTTGAGACGTCGCTTGATTTATCCCTTATTATAGGGCAATAGAATTGACTTTTGAACACAAAAATCGCTGAATACATAGTTTATCATGCCTAGAATCGATTTGCATTCAAAAGTGTTTTTTTTCAATTTTGTCGCTTAATTCGTTCTTACATAACATAGTCCAATTGTACTGAAAAGTTATAAACTACACGGGTGACCACACGAGCGAAGCCGGTGGTGGAAAACTATTTTAATCTATGTTTATTTATTTATATACTTTATAAGACAACAACGTATTAGACGCGATTTTACACTTAAACACGGCTTTTCGTCCGAAGTCCCGTCGTGACCACGGCCGGTGCAAATACCCGGTATTATAAGTATTTGATTATGCAGCACGTTAGTTTAAAAGTGAACCAAGTAAAATAAATACATAAGAAGGTACAAATATGAAATTAACAACAGTTGTACAACCGGCGGCTTTATCACTGAACAACGATTTCTTGTAGGCAACCTATTGATTGATACTTTTGGCAGGTTATTTTAAACACAATTAATTATTGAGCACTAGTATTTTTCAAATGAAATAAACTTCCGAATAGCAAGCCTATATTAAACCAAAATAGAATCTCACTTATATCAGTTATATGTGAAGTGAATACGCCAAGACATTTTCAATGCTCGGTTATTTGCGGTTCTGGCATTCAGGTACCTACACAAAAGACCGGTTTCTCAGTACGCTCGGCAATTCCGAACGTTACTTTGCAATGAAAAGGTGCTAATCGAAACACGGTGTCAGGAAAAGTACTGTCTTCACAAATTACTTGTGGATTTAACGGGGAAGGTTAACATTAAGTAACAGGGACCGTTGTAATTGTACGTCAATTTTTACTTCTTATCTCTGAAAATACATGGACTAAATAAAAAAAAAAAAATGTATCATTTAATTTTGTAATCATTTATTATTTATTTTGATCATTTGATTTTTTAACGTCATTTGTATTTTCACACATAAAAATAAATCGTTCCCGAGTCAATACATCGAGTAAGTAGTCTGAGACATCAAGTTTCGTCAATGTTGTTTATGATCTCGAAATGTTACGAAGAGTAATTGTCCTCCTCCCCCCCCCCCCCCCTTTACTTGGCAGTATAGACCGAATATCTTGATGTTGGCGTTGTTGCCATATTATAAATAACTATCTTTCAGTTAGGGTTGGTTCCGGAAGTGCTCTCATTCAGCTTTGAAAACTGAACGATGCCGGTGTCAGACGTGCACACTGACTTGTCACATCAAGATGTCAAGATGGCGGCCAGAAACGTAAACTCTCAACCTAATCTGTTTCCATCTATTCTATCTACATCTATATCTTAACACCGCGTCCCTTGTGGGGTAGACAGAGGACTGAGAGCCACTAGGTACGGTCCTTACATACATATTTTACCTTATCAACTTTCATTAGTCTTTTCATGCATTTTAGCTGGTTTTTATAACCTCTAATATTAACTTCTAATACCACGCGATTTGATCTTAAAAGAAGCGTCGTGACTTTCTCGACTTCAATATCCTTTTCACTTTCGCGTTAAATATAAGTTTTGATATTTTTTCTTTCGGCATACCGTCTACATGTTCCGGAATTCGGTTTACAACTATACAACTACGACAACAGTTTTTCATTTATAGGTAATCATACGACTTATTAATGTTTAAGTAGTTTCAGAGAGTTAACAAAGAAACTCCTTATTAAGATACACTTAATGCTGGCTTTAATATAGAACATAGAGCAAGCTCCCCGAATAATTTAAATTGATTATATTTCTTTATAAATGATAAATTCCAAGAAAAGTAGCTAGTGCTCCCGTAAAGGAGTATCTGAGACAACGAAGGTATGACAATACCCTAACCCGAGTTGAGGTCAATGTAGAAAAGTCCGTTTTTTAAATTGACCCGACAAGGAATCGAACCCAGGACCTTAAGAAATTGCAATACCTTGAAACCGGCGAGCAATCCTCTCGGCTACGGAGTTCGTCGAAATATAAGTAAGAAATATCATTCATGGTAGCAATTCCGTCGAAAACTATTATTCTGTTTTCAATGAGTTGTATGAAATCAAACTATATCTTAATAAATAAAATGAACGAAATAAAAAAGTATATACTCTATGAATAAAAAGAAGCTTTCGCCAGTTATGATTTAAAGCGTATATTAAATAGAAAATTACTTTTTCATTCATATTGGATATCTTCTTTACACTTGGAGTTTGATTTATAGCTAAAGTAAGGTAAGGAGTAAAAACTGGGGGTGCGGACCGTGGACTAATGAATGGAAATTGCCGCGAAAAACCGCTGAGAAGTGGAAAGCGTTTATAAGAATGAAGTGTCAGCTCTCAGCTTCTGTGTCTGAATAACAATGTATTAAAAAAAATCACTTTATGTAAAAACTAGTTTTTTTTGCGCGCGGAAATAGTTTAAGTGACCCAAGTATGATGAGCTTCCCATAGATGAAAGAAATTTTAATATTGGTCAAGTAATTTCGGATTATTCAATGAAAACAAAGAAAGACACATTTCTTTGTAATGGTAGTATACGTCTGAGGAAACCAAGATTAAAAAAAAATCTACAAATTATTAAAATCTACATATGAAAGAGGCGAAACGAAGCGATCTACAAATACGAGAACCGCATTTTATCAGCTGAGTACTTAAAGATTAATTAATATGAAAAAGAATAAAGAAAATATAAATAAAAATGTTTTTTTTTAAAACAAGCTTTTACTTCTGTGCATTCTCTGTCTCCATTTGTGCAGACTAAAACGTAAATAAATAAATTCTTAACATCCAAAATAATCAAATTTTTCCTTAACAGTAATTGATTTGAAAATCTTGTAGCACTAAAAAAATTGGAGATGCGGAAATTCACATATTTTCTAACACACAGCTTTCAAGTAAATTACTGATGGAGTTTTTTTTTATTATAAGTACTTAAAATATTTAGAATTTATTTATTTACGTTATTTAATAAAAGCTTGTCTTTAAAAACTTTTTATATTTTACTTTTATTAAATCTAAAAAAAGAAAAGTAAATCGCTGTTCTCATAAAGTCTTATTATTAATCTTCTAAAAATAGTTTTGATAATAAAATTTGAACTTAATTGACTAATACGGAGAATCTTTGTCACTAGAAAAAAAAAATTGATAATAAATTTTTCTCTTCACAAAGATGGAATTTTTAAATTACAAGGTTGTTGGCTGTCTTAGTAAGTTAATTAAAAAATGAAACCTTTAATGTTTCATAAATTAGAAATTCTCACAGTGTTCGTGATAAAAGCATCAAATTTATATTCTCTTTTATGTATATGGTAATATTTTTAATATTTTTTTTGTGATATCTAATTTTTTTATATATTCAGCGACACACGGCCTATGTATAATCCCTCATTCAGACGACATTTCATATTTTCTGTTTTTTTCTGTAACTGTAGGTACATGTTACATTAATAATTAGTGACACATATATTCTATATGAAATATGTAAACTTTATAAATTTTGCAGTAGTTAAGATGCACATTTCAAACGTACTTAAGCTACTAAAATGATATTTTTATTTTTATTAATTTAATTGCGACAAATTAGGCCACATTGCGTGATCCCGTTCAATGGTTTTAGAATTAAGACATATTATTACTTTCGGATTCAAAAATAACTAGGCCTCCGTCTTTAATATTAAAAAATAGGATTTAATTCTCGTAGTTCTAACTTTCATAATACCGAAAGAGCCGCTTTGATAATTTCTTATATTTATTGTTGTCCAAAGCTCGTTAAAAACTTTATCTTTATCTGCGGCTGAAATTAGTAGAATTTCGACTAACTCTCGCGACTCGTCAAAGCGAAGTTCATTTAAAGATAATAATTCATATTTTCACTTTATTCAGATTCAGATTAATTTATTTGATAGATTGAAAGTTGACGACCGCTTTACTGGCCTCATTAAATCTTTTTTTTTTTATTGTTTGTAATATAAGGTACCTTTATTCTGAAATTCCTAGTCAACCCAAACAGATGAGCAGATTATTACTCCTGTTTCAAAAACCGGCTAAAATCTTATATGAAACCATTATTCGCTGTTAGGTACGTCTTTATTTTAAAGAGTGAAATTTGCGAAATTCGCTTATATATTTTGTTACATAATCTTAGTGCGATGCAAAATGCATGCTGTTGCAGCGCTAATATAAATTTGCCTAATGTTTTTGTTTATCTTTCCTCGTAAGTGTAGTATTATACATTTATACTGTATATCCCTAAGCATAGATAACTCCAATCGTGTAGTTTAAGACTATCCACTTCATGCCGGTCACCAATACCTTACTGCTCTTAATGAATCGATAACTATTTTAAATATCTAAGAGTTGCATTTTTAAGACTCTATTACTAATATTTATGAGTATTTTTCTTGCTTCCTATCAAAAAAGTACTTCCTCTAAATTATCGCTATTAGTTTAAAGTTAATTAAAATTACTCCTCTAAATGGTTGATTTGAGTATATATTTTGAATAAAAGAACAAAATGGCGACCCTGTAACAGAATCAAAACATGTTAAGTTTTCTTCTATTAAAAGTCGAGC